TTGGAATAATAAAGAAGATGGAACATCTGAAACCAAATCTCTGAAACTTAAAGGTGTATCATTAAAGAAGAACTCAATTCAATCATCAGATTATCTTCATGTTATTCAAGAAAGAACTGTCAAAACTGGTATCAATATAAATCTTCAAATGAATCATAACCAAATGAGTAAGATAACAGTATACAAAAATGCATTAACAGGTTTCCATAACAAGATGATCGTACTTCCAAATGAATCTTGTGCACCATTCATCAAAGGTTTAACAGTAGGCTTTTACGCCAAAGCAAAATGGCGTATGTTTTTTTAAAGAAATGGCGTAAATGCCTGCTGAAAAAAGACAAGTGAAAATAAAAAACAATTTTTCTTTATTTAAAAAGTTATTTTTGTCTTTTAATTAATTATTAGTGTTATTTTACTATATTTAATTAAAAGAAAAAATAAAAAATATTTAAAAAAAATTATAAAATCAATTGGCGTGGCGTACGCCACGCCATTATTTTTTCTGAGGACTTCTGAGGAATGTTCTCAATTTTTGAATTGGCGTATAAAATGGGGGATGATTACGCCACGAAAAAAATCATGAGTAGGGGGTCATGCTTTTTTTCATATAAAAATTTGAATACGCCAATAAAAAAACATGAGTAGGGGGTCATGCCTTTTTCGATTTAATTTTCAAATTTTGAATAAAAGAACTTTAACAAAAAGGAAATTATTTTTTAGTATTTAGATTATTTAAATTAAGATTAGTATATAAAAAATTTTGCTTTACATAAATTTTTAAAACCTTTTTTTTTGGCGTAAGCTATATGGCGTGTTTTTTTCCAAAAAAATAATGGCGTAAAAGCCTAGTTTAACAGCTAATGATTACATTTGTGAATTTGCAAAACAAAGTTCCCTACGGGAATAAAAGTAGATTTAAATATTTTTGAACAAATTTGTTTGTATTCAATGCTATTATAAATCCTTATACATAATCTTTATGAATGTCTTACATTATATTACATTACCATTTTACATATTCTTTTGTATAACATTTTGAAATACTTTTGCAAATACTTTAACAATTATGTAAACATGAATCAATTAAAACTAAATAAAATCAGTTTCTCAAATGAGTTACATAACAAATTACAGAATAACTTCTTATCAGAAAATCATTTCAGAACACAAGAACAAACAAAAAGCAAACAAAATGAAGAATATTCATTTACTGATTTGCATTCAGAAGTTTACAACATCTCTGATGATACGAAGCAAGTAAAAGATAAAGTTCAACACAACTTGAATGATAAAGACAAAATTTCAATTCAAAATGATAACAAACTTGAGAATTCTGAACATATTGAAGAACCAAACCTTGAACAGCAAAAGAAACTCATCAAAAGACAGAAATATAATGCATACATGAAATCGTATCGTGAACGCAAAAAGAAAGAGATAGAAGATCGTATAAAATCAATTGATATATCTCTCAACGAACAAACCAAATCATATAGTAAAGATGATGTCAAGCAAGCTCTCTTTGATTGCATTAATACATTAATAAATATCATTAACATTCATCTTGACAAATTCACAAATGAAGCCAAAAATGATATCATTAGCTGTCAATATACAAGTGATATCCTTCAACTAACTAATACATTAAATGCTTATATCAACAGCTTATTGGGATCTAAATAATTCGTTAGCAAATTCATTTAATTTCATTTCTACTTGATTCTTAACCGAATTATTTTTAGACTTATGGACATATGTATTCTTATATGGAATCAGTATAAGCTTTCCATAACGTTTTCTGAATACATGATCATTTATTTTAAATCGTTTATTCATTTCTCTAGTATTCATATCAGAAACAGTCTCATTATATCTAACAAGTTTCTTTAACAATTTCAATTCATTTTTGTTAATCAATTCACTAATAATCATTAACAATTTCTCTTCATCAGACTCTTCAAATATACCACCTTGATAATTATTTTTATATTCACCACGGATATTTGAATCCATTTTATCTACATTAAAGAAATTATTTTCAGACATTCTTTGACCTTCAATTAAAAAATTATTTGATAACAAATTTTTCGATAACTTTTCATTTTATAATCTTTATCAAAACCATACTACGTACTCTTGTGAAACATTCGCTAAAGCGAAAAACGTAGTTAGGTCTGGTTCCCAGACTGCTAAAGCAGATTCACAAAACAAATTGAGAGTATCAAAATAGGGCTTAAATTTGGTCATTATTTTTGCCAAAACCACTTCAAAACAAGTGTTTCCATGACCTTCAACATGATTTTGAAGATTCAAAATTTTTGGTCCAAAACCCCTCAAATTACATGTTTTCATGGCTTTCAACGTGATTTTGAAGATCCCAAGAATTTGAGCTCCTAGTATTGAAACATGATATCGAAAATCAATACAAAAGTATCTGACCGGCAGCTCCCCCATCTATTATCTCTATATATTAGTTTGAATAAAATTTGATTTTTATAATTTTCAAAAGGCGATTTTACATATTGCTGTTGAATCAAATAATATTGAATTTATTAAGTTTTTATTACAGTTTAATAATATTGATTTAAACAAATGTCGTAATATTTTTTTAAAAAAATTGATAGTATTTCTTTTCACTTTTATTTAATTATGTTTGAATATATTTATTTTTTGAATCCAGTATTAAATACGTTTTTATTAATGAAATTATGATTCATGTAATTTAATAAAGTTTAAAAATAATTTTTATTTATACAAATTCATTATGTATTGCAGCCAATAAAGAAAATATCGAAATCATTAAACTTTTATTATCTTGTGAAAATATTGATGTTAATCAATACTATGAAATTTTTATATTTAGTCTCTTTATAACGTTTTTATCTAAAAATTTAATGACATTTTTAATTATTGAAATTTCAATGATATTTTTTTTATTTGATAAATTTATTATATTTCAAAATAAATCAATTTTTCTAATCGAATTACAAATCAATTTATTTCAATTAATGAAATTAAAAAAAATTTTATTTTCAATAAAATTTAAAATATTTTAAAAAATAAAACAGCACTTTATATTGCAGTTGAAAAAGGAAATATTGATATCATTAAACTTTTTTTGGCTTGTCCAAAACTTGATATAAATCATATCAATATTACTAATTATATGCTTTTAAATTATATTTGTAAATCAATGTTTTTTAAATTTTATTTCAAAACCTTTTTTTTAATAGTATTTACATTCAATTTTTTCAATAGCATTCTCAATTATTCAATTTAATTTCATTTCAAATTTTAAAATTCAAATGATGTTTTAAATTAATTAAATCAATCGCATTAATCATTAAATACTTCAATGGAATTATATATTTAAAAATTTCATTCAATACTACAATTAAAAATTTTTACTTCATTTTCAAAACCACATATTTAATGAAATTTGACTTCGATTAAATTTAATTCAATTTAAAATATTCTTATTTTTGAAATACAGTTCAAGCTTGCAATTTCAATGTAGTTTTAATAGCTTCATTTTTTTAATTGAAGTTATATCAATTTTTTTGAATAAAGTTTTGAATTTTTATTTTTTTCATATAACAGCTTTATATGGTGCAATCAAAATGAATAATGTTCAAGTCGTTCAAATTTTATTAAATAGCCCAAATATTGATGTTAATCTTCCATTAATTTTAAATCATTTTTTTTTTAAATACAATTCATTCAAATTTTGAGTAGCGTTTCAAATTTGAAATATTTTAATGAAATTATAAAACATTGATTTTAAATATAATTTAAAAAATAAGATATTTTTTGATATAATTCCTCAAAAAAAATTTAATGCAGTTTTATTTTAAATTTGAATGGAACAACTGGAATTAAAAACATATTTTTTGAATGAAATTGAAAAAAAAAAAAAAATTTTTTTAATAGAAGGCCAGGTTATATTTTAATATCAATATTTTTAATTATAATCAACCACCGCTTCATCTTGCTGTTTTAAATAAAAATACCGAAATTATTAAACTTTTATTGGCTCATCAAAATATTAACAAGCATCAAAAAGACATTGTTTTTATATTTATATTTTTGAATTTTGTTTCTAATACAATCATTTTCTTATGATTTCATCTAAATTTTTTTATGAAAAGAGCCTATTGATTACACTGATGATGGATACATAAAGCAATTGCTTTATTGATTAATTAATAAAAATGTAAGAGTCTAAGACATTTTATTTTCATCTTTTCTTTTAAAAATTTGAATTATATTTACGATACAATTGCCAATAATGATTCATATTGGCGATATTGAATATTTTTTTTAATCTTCAATAAAATGAATAATCTCGGGATTCACAATTATCATTTTATAAAAATGAAATAAAAATAGTTCCATTTGACAAAAGCTAATTGTTAGCAGTTAATTTGGTGGTAAATCAAATAATAAAAATAAATATCATCTAACCTTAGAATTTTTTTTAGGTCAAATTATTTTCAGTTGGGGATAAACGACGTTATGGAAGTTTTTTTGACACAAAGAATGAAAAAATAGTGCCACTTTTTAATCAAGCATGGCTCATTCGGGAAGCAACTAGAATCACTTTTAAATAGTGGTTAAAAAACTAAATTGTTATTTCGAGCTTAAATGTGAGAGTTTCTGCGTCATACATCAGGTTTGAAAACAATGACTCCAGTTTTCATTCAGTTTCAAAGCATTCAAGTGAAAAAATTATCTGCATGTCAGTCATAAACATTTACGGTGTTTACTACTCCGAGTTCTTATTAAAAATTTAAAAAAAAAAAAAAAAAAAACATTGTTTATGATTTATATGTCATATAATTGATATTCATGTTTTTTTTTTTTGGATACAAATTTTTTGAGATAAAGCTGCTCATTTTCATTGATACAAAATGAGGTAATAGTAACAATAAAATATTTATTGAAATTAAATTGAATATTTTATCAATAAGTAAAACGAGTAAAAAAAAAACTCAAAAAAATATCGGTACGGGGAGTCGAACCCCGGTTTTGAGGTTGAAAACCTCAAAACCTTTCTTAACCATTCAACGATACCGATTTCTTATTTATATAATTATCACACATTATATACTACTTATTAATTGAAATTGTTTTTATAATTTTAAATTGGGTGTTTTGAATTACAGAAGAAAAAAATGTTTCTAACAAAAAAATGGGCAAAATATGATTATAACAATTTAAACAAATAACAATTTAGAATTTTAAATATTATTTGTCATCAATCTATAAATAATAAAAAATGACTAATACATATATATATATATATATATAACCAAATCAAAGAGAAAAATATTTAACTTTAAAAGAATATCGAACATAATTTTTATTTATAATATTTTACACAATGTTGAAAGTATCGCATTCAATTGCCAATGATAGTTTATTTTCAAATTTTTCAATTGAATCATATAACGGGATAACAATTTTGTTAAAGCAAGTGTGAGATTCAGGAAGTCTATTTGAATCAATATTTAAAAAGTTTAATTGAAACAATCCACCAATTGAGCCGAGATATTTGAAACCTTGGACTGGAACAAGTGAAGAACCTGTAGAAAATTTAAGTAATTTATGAAGCTTTTTTTGTGACCATTTGGATATAATTGTGAAAAATTGCGTGTAATACTTTTCATATTGAATGTCATATATTGTATTCTTTTTCCAATCATCTAAGTCGATTGTTTCATTGCCATTAATAATTTCTCTTACTTCAGCTGAATTGAAAATTGAAATTACATTTAAATCGATAACTTCTTGAAATCCATATTTAATCAATTCTATTGAGTTTAAGTTTGGTTGGATGATCTTCTTTTCGATCATTAAACGAATAAATTCTTCTTTGTTTTCATCTGTTAAATCTTTATTTAGGCCACCTTCACATAATTCAATATCATCTCCATCAACAAAAGTCATCATTAATGGTTCTGGATCATTTTCTGAAATCCATTTTAATGATTCATATAATTCTATATCATAATCTTTCATATCTTCTAAATCAATTTTTTCTTCCATTAATTGTTTCAAAATAAATGATGACAACTTGATTCCAATATTTTTTTTGTTGATGAATGCTGATGCAATTAATTGACCTGTAAATCTGTAAATTATTGAATTATCGATGTCTGTATTATTATTATTAAATGTTAATGAAGTTCCATTTGGTGTTGGAATGAATGCTTTTGATTTTATGATTTCATCAGTAACATTAATGAACCAATCTTTTGATAATCCACCTTCATCAACACCTTTTTCTGAATCATAATGAATTCTAATGATTTTATGGTGCATTTTCTTGCTTAAAAATTCATTCATTGAGTCATTTAAAAGATTGTTTCTTGAAATTGAAATTCTTTGCTTTGTAAATTCTTTTTTGTAGAAAATTGCAAGTTTTTCTTTTTGATTTAACATTTTTTCTATTGAAAACTTTTTGATAAATTCGCATGCATCTTGTGTTTTAACCCAATTCAACAAATCTTTAATTGATTCAAAATGAAGATCATCTGTCAAAATATCTTTTATTTCTTTAGTTGGCTGTAAATTGTTCAATAAATCAATGGCATCATCATATTCTTTCATGTACATCAATTCAAAAATCAATTCTATTTTCCTTTCAATATTTGTGATACTGTTGATATATACTCTCATTGAATCAATTTTTCTTCTTCCATCGAAATTGTTGATTGCTTTTTGAATAAATCTTTTGAAATCTTCTTCGAAATATTTGATTACTTTACTGTTTTCATATTTTGAAATGTTTCCTTGATAAATGTCTTTTTTAATAACAGAGTAAATGCCATTTGTTATTTTTGAATTGGCTAAGTCAATATTTTTGGAAGCAAGATATAATAAATCATCATTCTTTTCATTAACAAGGAAACGATTATATTCACTTTTGTCTTTTTTATGTAAAATAAGCAACTTAACAAAGTCAATTTCATTATGAATGTCGAAGTTAAATGCAAAAGGTCGATTAATTTCTTTGTTATTATGCTTATTTTTGTTTGATTTACTATTTTGTTCATTTGTATTGTTTAAGTCTTCTTCTGTAAATGGTATGTAAAATAACTTTTGTAAAACATAATAGCAAATAATTTTTGAAATTTTAATTCCATTGACAATGATGTCTTCATTTGAGAACATTTTGTATAATTGGGCATGAATTTGATTTTTGAAGTTGAATTTGGTTTTTGGATCATTAAAGCAAACATAAGCAATAATGTATTGAGAAATTCTTTGCTTTTTAATTAATTTGGCATTGAAATTGTTGATTTCTCCCTTATCATGTTTTGTTCGGGTTTTGGTGAGGTATCTCATGAATAATGTATCGATAATCATATCTTCTCCATATTTGTCTGCATAGCTTTTTAATTTAGAAAGCATTGATAAAACATAATCATTTGAATTTTGGTTAAATATCATTGCTTCAACTAATGAATGACATATTTGATCTTTTTCAGTGAACTTAGGGGAAAGGACATCAGGGAAATAATTAATGTCATTCATTATAAGTATGATAAAATAAAAAATGAAATAAAGCAAATTAATTCTTATTCAAAGAATTTCTACTTTCAAAAATTTTTATAAAATTTCATCATAAAGTTTTCAATTTTTCAAAAGATAAAATTTTATTTTTCAGAATTAAAACATGTCATTCGTTTTTATCAACTTTGACTTTTTCCAAAATTGAGAAAATCTTGAAATGTTCAGTAATGATTATTCAATTATCAAATGTACTGATATTTCATAAAATGATTAAGATGATTTGCAAAAAAAAAAATACCCTGATCATTCCTTGGAATATAGGTTTTTGATATATAAAAGAATAAGTTCATTACTGCTTTTTTTTTTTTTTTTTTTTTGAAATAGCGGTAAGGCTAGAAGATTTTCAAAATAATAAATTTTTTATTCAATTTTTTCAATTGGATATCAAAATTTTTGAAAGAAAAATTCAATTGACACAAAATTAATTTCAAAATTTTGAGAAAATTTTCACAAAATTTTATCAAACTTTGACATATTAAAATCAAATAAGTTTTTTTTTGTTTAATTTCATTTTATTTTTAAGAATGAAATATATTGCTGCTTATATGCTTGCAAAACTCGGAACAGAAAATCCAAAAGTTGATGATATCAAGAGAATAATTGAAAGTGTTGGAATTGAATTTGATTTTAAAAAAGCAGAAGAAATTGTTAACAAATTAGAAGGGAAAAACTTAGAAGATGTCATCAATAATGGAAAAACTAAATTGTCATTAGTTTCAAATGATCAATCAGGACAAACTGAACAAACTAAATCAAAAGATGATAATAATTCAGATAATAAAGATAAAGAAGAAGAAGAAACATTAGAACTTGGAGGTGGCTTTGATGATCTTTTTAACTAAAAAAATATTAATTTTATTTTCTTTCTATTACATTAAAAATAATATTTATTTTTTATTATTGATTTTAGTTCTAGGCTTGTTAATCTGATATCAATTATCAAGTTTGTGATCTTTTCCAATGATTTTTAGAAGTACAGTATAAATATTAATTTTTTATAGGTTAATAATATTCTTCTATAGAAGAATATTAAACTTAATTAATTAATTAATTAATTAAGATAAACATATTTTTTTTGTAAGAAAATTTGAATGCAAAACATACAAATTTTGAATATAGGAATTTGAGTATTAAATCATTTTTATCCTGATAATTAAGAAATTTATTAGAAGATTAACATAAAAAATATTAACATAGAAACGTTTCTACTTAATGTAACTGAAAAATGAACTTTTTGGGCTTTAAGAAAAATAAAAATTTTGACATAATTTTGACAGGAGTGATTCAAACGCAATTGTCAAAATTTTAATTAAAATTAAAATGACTGAAAATGATAAAAAGATATGGGAAACTATTACTGAAGAAGACTTGAATGATATCAAAAGTCTTGGAGGGGGATTCAAAAAGTATCCATCATGCAAAGCTCCCATTGAAAAAAATGGAGGTGCAAATTATATGCGATGCCCAAATTGTGGTAAAGAATTTTGCTGGATGTGTGGAAAGGATTGGTCTTCACATAATGATCATTTTACTTGCCCTTATTAAAAACCAGAAGAAGATCCATATCTTCAAAAATAATATCTATAAAAAGAACTATTACACCTGTTTCACTTTTGTAACGGAGAATTCCACTTTCGTGACGGAAATTTTCACTTTTGTTACGGAAAATATGAAATTTTCCTGAATATATGATTTTTGTTATAAAAATTTGTGATTTTAAAGTTAACATCTTTTATTTAATAAAAAATGATTATTCATTCAGAAAAAATTCATCAACAAAAATACGCAATATATAATAATCTCTTCTATAAAAAAATTTTATTTAAATAGCAAATTTGTATAATTTATATATGATGAAATGAAAAAAATGATTTTTATTGATGAAAATAGGCAATTTATTGAAAGATTAAAAAAAAAAAATAAACAAGATTATTATATTTATTTAGTAAAGGAAAAATTTTGACAGCCAAATTGTTGAAATGATTATGAAGAGTCAACAAAATTTGCATATTTAATAAGGTCATCGTCAATCAGTTCTTTGTCACTTTTTATGAAATCCAAAATATCTTTGAATGATGGTCTTTTCTTTGGATCCTGAGACCAGCATTTATCGATTAATTCCCTGCAACTTTCTGGTATTCTATCGTTCATCTTTGGACGAGTTTCGTTGACAACAACTTCATTTATGATCTGGTTTGAATTGATGCCATTGAAAGGCTTTTCATTTGACAAAACTTCAAACATAATAAACGCGAATGCGTAAACATCGCTTGCTTGTGAATATTCATTATTTTCAATGACTTCAGGTGCCAAATATGCTGTTGAATTATTAAATCCACTCATTGATTGATGAGACATTTGTTCTTCAACTTGGAATTGTTTCGATATTCCGAAATATCCAAGTTTCGGTGTCAATGAATCACCTAAAAAGACGTTGTCTGGATCAAGGGATGAATGACAAATTCCGAGAGAATGTAAATAAGACATTCCTGATGCAAT